CATGTTTACTTAGTTCATTGATTGTAAGTACAAGATTGAGAAAATTTTGGGATTCTTGCATCTCATCAAAGTTACCAAAGATTCTGAATAGAAACAGGAGCTAAATATGATTCCAGCCACAAAAGCATCTTCAAATTCATTGAAAAAACTATTATCCCCTAACAAAAGAAACAAGCTGTGTAATGTATACGTATCTATACCCTAAGATGAATGCAATCTTCATGTTCTGCCAATATTTACTAATGAAATTAAAGAGAAAAAAGCTATTTTAAAAAGACACTGCTAACAAAGGTAACCCAAAAGCATGAAGGTTAGAATGAATGGAGAAAGATGAGGAGGTGAAGATTGCAATGTTAATCCAGTGCTATCTAAATGATAGTTGAACTAGAAATCAGGAGTGTCCTGATCTTTAAATAGCAAAGGTCTGCTGCAAGATACAAATGTAAATGTTTTTATTTGCTTGTTTGTGGGGGGAATTTGTTCTTTCATTTGTTTCTTTTATGAGCCATGAGAGCCACTTGAGAATTATCCTGGTTTTTCTGTTCATCAAGCAATCTTTGGATAATTGAGCCTCAGTCTAGAAATGACCTGAAAATCTCCTGGAGAATTGTCGCCTCATTGATTTCTTGTGCAGTGCAGAGAATGTTTTTTTTGTTTTGTTTTGGTTTTTTTTTTTTTTTTTTTTTTTGCATAATGCCTAGAATTCCCTGATAAAAGAACACTTTAATTACTGAATTCTATACTAAATAATGTTAAAAGGAAGACACAACCAGGATCTTATCTGGACTTAGAATTTCTGTTCTATGATGTGAATGGAAAAGAAAGAGAAAGAAGAAAAAACAAAAGAAAAGAAAGCTTGGAAGGCTTTTACTGTTTCTTGTGTGATATAACCCTGGTACAGCACCAGAATAATTTGACACATACATGCACCCTCAGATTTTAATCCTTAGCATTGAACAAGGCATGCCATTCAGGGAATCAAGATTTTATGAACAAAGATTCCATTGTTCAGGTTCTATAAAACTACCTTCACCAGCCACATTTTTGCCTGCATAGGAGACTCTGTCTCATCGTGTAAGGAGATACATACCCCTCAACTCAGGGAAAATATGTCCCTCCCCTGGTTCCAGCAGAACAATCAAGATTAGTCTAAGCCACTGGTGATGAACCTAAGCACATATATTAATTGTTTTTGTTTTTTAAAAAATTTCAATGTATGAGTTTCTTTAAAAAAAACTGAAGCATCAGTATTCAGATTTTACTGCAGTGTTGATATTTTATAATAAATAAGTTGTTTTTGTGTTGCAGTTTTGGCACTCATCTTTGAAATATTCACCATTGCTGGTCTAAGCCATAACATATGCTTTTGCATGTATTTTCCCAATCTAACTTAACAGAATGGATCATAGAGCATAGGTTCCAGACAAGATAACAGACTAGAAAGTGCTACTAGGGTTATTTTAGAAAACATTGTCTTCCTAGATAAACCCACAACCTTCAGAAAAAGATCTCTTTCTTCTATTGCTTTTTTTTTAGCCAAAGATGCTAGGATAATGGAATGATCCCTGGAATTGTTCTGGCTATTTTACAGCAATATGACAATAAAGCACAAGAATATAAGCCAATATTGTGAGTCTGATGGAAGATAAAGGTGAAAACTACATCCTTCACATTGATGAACCTCTGAAATAAACTTGGACACATTTACTTATAGTCTTCTTGTTAATATTTAATATACATATGACTTAAGGTACTTTGGGCTTGTAGCTTCAGGGATTTATAACAGAATTAATCCTAACACACCTTTAATACGAAAATCGGAGGAAATGTGGATAGTAAGAAAATATTTTAATGTTACATTTGATAAGGTTTCCGAAATCTTTGACTAGGCTTTTGTTCCTTCACTATTTTAACTTGTTTTATTTCAAATACAATGAATTATATCATTGGCCAAAAGAATAGAGACCTGCCAAAGTCTGGTATCTCTTAAAGTAAATGAATAGTTTTTCATTTAAATTAATAATTGTCACAAAGCATCTGTAAATATGGTTTCATCAATACAAAAACCTTATTCTAGTTACCAAAAGTATAAGTTTACAACTCAGGATCCTAAATGTAGATCACTTTTTGCTGTATTATATCATTGAAGAAGGGGTGGTAATTTCACTCAAGCTATCTCAAAAATCTATGTGGTTGAGTTGGCAGCATGCTTGGGCTGTGGGAAGGACAACCAGGTGCCAGCCACTTCCTGTTTCCCTGTGCCATTTGTAGCCACAGGGGCAACAAGAGACCAGCCACTTCCTGTAAGCTGGCATCATGCATGGGCCATAGGGAGGCGAACCAGTCACTTCCTGTCAGTCATCAGCATGCATGGCCCATGAGGAGGACAACCAGACACCAGCTACACCCTATAAGCAGGCTAGGAGTCAAGAAAAACCAAAAGCCCCCCACCAGCACCTTGCATTACTGGTTTATCCAGAGAAACACAGGCTGAGATGAGATATAGCTATTGAAGTAAAACATAACAATGTTTGTAGTGTAGTCTCATTGACTTTGCTAGCCTAAAGTTGGTGATCTGAACATCTATTTAAAACATAACAATATGCAGTATAGCACCTATAAGAGATCTCGTTCTGAAGGTGATTACTACTATTAATTTTCTATTGTCTTATTTTAAAGTCCTGTATAATTTTTATTGTTTGGTTTGGCTTTATTCTATTTCATCTAGTTTGATTTTATTATATCTGATGGTATGGGAAGCTATTTCAAAAATAACAAGACACATTATTGTAACTATTTCTGATTTACTATAACCTTGTTTTGAAGTCCTGTATGTGGTAATTGTTTTGTTTTTATTGATTCCATTCTGCTGTTTTGTTTGACTTTCATATGTCTGATGGTATGGGCTGCTGTGATTCATACGGCTCCTGAGGTTTTTGGGGTGAAAGATCACAAGAGGATGAGAAAATAAAGAAGAGACAAATCTGGGTTCAGGTGGAGCCCTCACCCTCCTGATGGGAGGAAAGGTACTGGCTGCTCCCTGCAAGGGCATTTATTTATACCTTATTAGCAATAATGTCACATGACACCCTATTGTCCTAGCCACCCACTGTTTAGATTGTTTTGGGGCAAGGTGTTCTCTGGACTGAAGCAACTTCTTCAAGTGACTTGCCCAGGATGGCTCTTAGGATGGTAAAGTTTCAAACTTGCATGTGTGGTGAATTTCCAGCTTCAACAGCTCCCAACACTGAGCAGCTATTTTAAAGACGTGACATTCTGGTAGCCATTTTTTTTTTATTTTCTGCTATCTTGAAACCATGTGTCACTTACACCATTTTGTTTTGATTTTATTTTGTTTTATTTTTCTTAGTTTTATTCTATTCAAAATCAAAAAAATTCAAAAATCTATGCAATCAATTATTTTGGACCTTCTTTTCATTACTTTTGAATTAAAAATTGGTCTTAATTTTAAAACTCCCCTGCTTCTTTGAAAAATAACTCACAAGCACTAAATGGTGTTAGATTTAGAGCTTTAAAATTTATATTTATAAAAATAATAATATTTTCATACAGTTAAAAAATCAAATCCTTTACTATCCATAAAATCAAAGTGTCTGTTAATGCTGCTCATATGGAAATTTGTAATTATTTCTGATGTTACCCATATGATTCTGAATAGAATATATGAAAGCTATTTTTCATGAAGGATTTATACTATAATTATCCTTTACCTACTCAGGATGCTTCTATTCCATAGAATTTCATAGTGCTAATATACTGTAATTTAATTATAAACTTATTGGTGAATGTATAAAGAATGTATAATTTATAAGCAATACTACAATGAACATCAACTGTATAGACATCAACTGTAGGTAACTATCATGATAAAAATGAAAAGATAGAATACTATACTTGAATATACATCATGTTAGGGTTTATAACCAGATGCTCCCCAAAGCCTCTTTTGTGGGGCTTGTGGGAGGTCAGTAGATCACTGAGGGACAGTAATAATCCTCAGATTACTCCACTAATGAGTTTAGTAAATATGATGTTAGGAATTAAAACTTGACCCATGAGATAAGTCACTGGGAGCATGGCTTGGAAGGGTATATTCCTACTTTCCTCCCTTGAGTTTTGTCTACTTTCTGTTACCCTGTAATGAGCTGTTCCTCCTCTGCCATGCTGTCCTACCCTGGAGCTGGTCAACTATGAATTGGAGCCTATACAAAGTGTTAGCCAGAATAAACCTTTCTTATTTAAATATTGAGTATGGGGTATTGTGTCACAGCAATGAGAAAATAACTAAGTCACATAGTTTAAATTTTAATAGCATTTGCCTGCTGAAATTACTAGGCTAAATTTTATTTCTATAACAAAACACTATGAGAATATTTAAAACTCAATCACTTGAGGTTATTCTATTTTTATAATTCTTGATATCCCAACATGTGAGAATAAGGATCTTGATGCTTTTTTCATTCAAAATTCTCAGAGTACAAGTGAGGTGCAGTGTCTCTTTATGATTATTGACCACTTGAGATTCTTTTTCAAAAACATCAAATTAGTTGTTTTTCATTCATTTTAATTTTTTGTCAGCTTATGAAAACTGAATGTTAACCATGTCCTTTAACAATAGACAATGTTTTATCAATTATGTTTTATTCAATTTTTTATTACTTATCATAAAAATATAATTTGAAATTGTCAATTTATCAGTCTTTTTTTTCTTCACTTTTGGATTTATTAATACATAATCTCTGAAACTCATGTTATATTACTAGACATACTATAGTGTTTCTGTGACAATTGTTATACCTGAAGTATAATTGAAATTAGATGTATACCCTATACAGCGCACGCGTGCACACACACACACACACACACACACACACACACACACACAAATTTTAGCTGGATTTAAATTTGAAGGAGGAGCGTCCTCTGGGAAGAGGATCCTGATTTCTGAGACTGCCTGCGAGCAAATGCACCTCACCTAGTTGTACTCCCACTGACCACCCCTTTGGCGGAGACCATCATGAAGGCCCGCTTGAAAGGAGCGCAGACAGGCCGGAACCTCCTAAAGAAGAAGTCTGACGCCTTAACGCTTCGCTTTCGACAGATCCTGAAGAAGATCATTGAGACCAAGATGCTGATGGGCGAGGTGATGAGGGAGGCCGCCTTCTCCCTTGCTGAGGCCAAGTTCACAGGGGACGACTTCAGCACCACAGTTATCCAAAATGTAAATAAAGCCCAAGTGAAGATTCGGGCGAAGAAAGATAACGTAGCAGGTGTTACTTTGCCGGTCTTCGAACATTACCATGAGGGAACTGACGGTTATGAACTCACTGGTTTAGCCAGAGGTGGGGAACAGCTAGCTAAACTGAAGAGAAATTATGCCAAAGCTGTGGAGCTGCTGGTGGAGCTGGCTTCGCTGCAGACTTCCTTTGTTACTCTGGATGAAGCTATTAAGATAACCAACAGGCGTGTAAATGCCATCGAGCATGTTATTATACCTCGGATTGAACGTACCCTTGCTTACATCATCACAGAGCTGGATGAGAGAGAGCGAGAAGAATTCTATAGGTTAAAGAAAATACAGGAGAAGAAAAAGATTCTCAAGGAAAAATGCGAGAAGGACTTGGAGCAACGGAGAGCAGCTGGTGAGGTGATGGAGCCTGCAAACCTTCTGGCTGAAGAGAAGGATGAAGATCTTCTGTTTGAATAGTCTTCTCTGCTCTGCCACTTTGGGAAGTCTTCACCATGACTCCATTTAAAATCAGTGTGTCGGTTTGGTACGTGTGGCTATTTGTATTTTGGCCTATGAAGTCCAGCAGTTCTACAGTTTACCTGGATGTCTACTTATGGGATGACTCTTGCAGAACCCTAATTTAATTCAGTGACCCTGTGCAGCAGGCAAGTGAGCTCCAGACTTGCAGGCTTCCCTTTGCTGGGCGTCACAGTTCCTTTACATCATGTTATGTGTGACTTGTCCGCTAAGCATTTTAAGAAACACCCTTTAGGAAATGTTAGAGGTCTCAGGCCAGCTGCTGTGAAGATGTTTCCCACCCACTTGCAAACCCTGGCACACGTCTGAAATGCCACAGCCACCGTGTCACCACGGTACTTCTGAAGCTTTGTGCAAACCTGCACTTTTTTTCCCTTGCATGACAGGTCTGTCTTGTCTGGGAAGCATTTCTGCCAATTTAAATGTGACTATGCTATAAACAGTAAAATGATTGAAAAATTAAAAAAAATAAATAAATAAAATTTGAAGGAAATACCCGCATGCAAGAGTGAGACAGCACCTGCATATCACAGAGTCACATCTTCCCTATATAATGTTGACCCATGTAGGATTAGAGTACAAACAACTTCACTTGGAATTCTAAAAAAAATCCACAGTGGACTCCCGAAAACAATTACATGAGACTCAATTTACTTGCAAATCTAATAATTGCATTATGTAGATACTTTAAGCCCTTGCTGGAAAAAAACAAACACAAAAACCATGATAACCAGCAGCACAATGCTTTATGCCCCTATTACTGTGAACATTGGATAGCTTTCGCATAGGTCACTCCAAAACAGTGGGAAATGAATTTTATCATTTAACTATTTTGCTAAAAAAAAAATCTAGAGTTGGAAAGAAAATAGTAATAGAATGTTTTAAGTGGAGGGAAAGAACTGGTTTCATGCTGTGTTAAGTAACTGAGTATTTTACGATGCAATTAATTTAATTATTTGTACCAACTTCTCAGAATGTTACCAGCAGAGTAGATATGGTAGTGAGGCATAGAACCAGGCTAGGTTAAAAATGTGACAGACATTTTTTCCCTAATGGCTTCATATCCTGTAAAAGCATTAATTTTCAAAAGCATCATTATGACTTGCTTTTCATGTACTATTATGTCTAATTTTTTTTGTGCTCCAACAATGAAATTATTTTCTTCCTCAAATTTGTACAGCAAACATAAACAAATATTCAAATAAAAATCTCACTGGTTTGATCTGACCATCTTCTACTTCACCATAAAAGTACACATTTTATTCTTGAGTAGAAATACCTGATTTTTATGTCTTTGAAATTCATCCAGGTAAAATACCGAGGCGATGCCACGGTAGTATATATTATTACATAACACAGCATATATAGAGAACAGAATCTTCTGATAAAAGTGCATTAGCTAGTTTAAAACACAATGATCCATGGAATTAAAGAATTATTCTTTTCTCAAGAAGGTAAGAAAGAAGGTGCATGCTCCTAAAAAAGGCAAAAAAAGAATTATGCTTGAAAACAAATGGCTCAATGTATTTTGGCCTTAAATAATGATTTCTTATGAGGAAGGTGTAGAAAATGTGAATGGGTAAAAAAAGTTAACCAATTGTGTCTAATGAAATTAAATCTGAAATTTCTTGTTTAAATATTAAGCAATTATTCGTATACTTACTTTTTAAAATAAGATTTAGATTTGTGTCATAAAGGAGTTAAAGAAAAAAGGAGAATCAGAGATATGTAGACTTCTTTATGCCCTAATTTTCTTCCTATATTGGAAGACATAATGATTTCATAAAATTTTGGGAAAACATTAAGTTACACTAATTCTTTGATTACCTATATATTTATTTTAAATTCCCATGGAAACTTGCTTTCTTCCTCTAGAAATTAAAAAAAAAAAAAAAACATAAGCCCATTTTCCAAAAACCAAGAGCAGTGGAGCCACACATTGGAACTAATTAGCTCTGGAAGCAAACTAGCCCTGAGACTGAGCAAAGGTATTGCCCTGAGAGGCTATATTGTCAAAATGATTTAATAATTGAAACAGCAAAGTGAACTAGATCAAGGTCATATAAACCTACGTTCTATAGTACATACCAAAATGGATCCAGAATCAGTCCTAAGGAAATTGCTATTCTTTCCACTTTCAAAGTATGTACACTCATAATTCCTTAGCTGTTTCTGTGAACATGTTTGACTTAAACCGGTAAAGAAGAGAAAGTAGAATGTGAGATGAGCTCCCTCCTTTATCTCCACCTTTGGAGATTTGAGGCGATGCCTCGGTAGTATATATTATTACATAACAAAGCATATATAGAGAACAGAATCTTCTGATAAAAGTGTGTTAGCTAATTTAAGACACAATATGAGAACAAGTGTATTAGTCCTTTTGCTAACATCAATATTACATACTACTGCTCATACTGTAGGTATTGCCTGTTTGCAGAACCATTACCTTTGTTAAACCAGATACCCTGTGGATGGAAAATGTCTATAAAAACATAAGATACTTTCAACTTTTTCTTCTACTTCAAGGGCATACACCCAATACTAATCTCTCTAACAATGCAATGAGAATAGTAATAAAAGTATATATCTCTCATGGTTAATTTAATGATAAATAAGTTAATGCATGTAAAGTGTTTAAATTTGTGCCAGTTATCTGATAGACTTAAGAAATCACAGCTATTACTGTTAATAAATGAAGCTGGTATATATGGATTTGAGTCATATTAAGGCAAATCATTAAAAAAGTATAATTTTTCTAAAAATGTAGAATGGAAAGACAAATTTTAAACTGAATTTTTAAGTGAAATGAGACTATTTATACTTGAAAAATTTTTTTAAAAGTTTGTTTATCTAACTGGGTACTGAAAACTCTTGGGAGGAATTTAAAGATGTTTCTTGGAGATCCATGCCATGTTGGAGCTTAGGACTCTGGGAAGCCAAGCCAGCATCTCCCCTCCCTGTAAGCGGAGGCAGGGTGGCAGCCTGCAGCCCTTCCAGGGGGAGAACTAGCAGTATCTCCTGAGATCCACACCATGTTGGAACTTAGGACTCTGGGAAGCCAAGCCAATACCTCCAAAAAAAAAATCCATGTAAATTATATGTAAGTTGCAGTACACCAAAATCCACTATTCTGTGCAATTTACATGAACTTATAAAATCATTTTCAGATTCTATAAAATAAAAAAAAAACTAATATGATTGATAGCATCAAGTTTGGGATTATAGGCAACTACACTGAAGAAGACAAGACCCTACGATATACATTCTGGTTTGATAACTGCCAGTTATGTTTTTATTAATACTGTTATATACTTATATATTCAGTTATACTATGTCTGATGATATAGCCAGTTCTATTGAAGATAACAAGAGACAACACAGGAACTATGGTAGAACTCCTTGCACAATGGTCTTATATCTTTTTTGTTTCATGTGTTTATAGGAATACGTTTTGTTCTGTCTTGCTTTGTTTCATTTCTACCTCTAATATAGAAAGAACAGAAATACATGTTAAGACTCATGCATGTGTAGAATCTATAAACAGTTTATGAGAGCTGATCTTATGACACATGATGAAATGAACAGATACTTTGAGGAAAAAGAGTCACCAAAGAACCCAGTGCTGATTCTGGTGTGTCATAATGTGAAACCCAGCAATAATATTATTCTCTGTTCAGAGTGATATTAGCCTGCTTGGGTTTTTTTCTATCTCAACACAATTGAAGATATGGATAACTGCATGTATGTTTAAGTGTATAGGACTGATAACATATTTCTAAGTTTTTATTGGACAGTTGAACAGAACTGTTTGCAGTCTTGCTGTTTGAATTCTCACTTTACATGTTCCATTTTTGTATCTTGAATAACTATTTGTAAAATGACAATATGTAAACATCAACCAGTGATTTCTTACTGTTTATTTTTTCTCTGAATGCATGTATTATTTCTACCTATTTTCTGTTTTGTTTAGTCTTTCTTTAAATAAAATTTAAAAAAGATGTTTCTTAAAAATATGCCATTATTTCTACGTACTAGACCCCACTGAGAATAAATCCATGATACTTTTAAGTAGCAAGTATTGCTGAGAAAAAGAGAATAAAGCAGAGAATTAAAATAATGTTAGGACCACAAATTCACAATGGCTAGTTTTACTTACTTCCCTAAGGGATAAAATGGAAGCTTGAGATTATCAGTATCATTCATTTGAGATTTCCCATTAACTCTTCAGGGATGGGCTGTTCCCTCCACCCACTAAGACTAAAAGTAAGACCACTAAGGTTGAAAACCATTCAGAGCGAGATTATTCTTCACATAAGATCATCCCTGCCCTCTTGAGTCATCTAAAGATTATACTTGCTGTTAAGTCACAGACCTCTAAATTTTCCACCAATTTTGGATATGTCACTGGCCTTGACTATCACTGGTACACCCAATAAATACTAACTGTTTTGGAGTATTGCTCTCTTGGCCCATTGGAAGACGTCAATTTCCCAGTCACTCATCATGCACTATTGAATTTGTCTCTGTTTCTTATTTTTATCCTCTTTCCATACCCTTAACACAGGCAATCAGGGCTCTTGGATGGGTTCCCAATAAAAAGATTTTGAGATTGAAATTTAGATTTCTTAACCAAGTCACCATAACAATATGGCCCAGTCACATATAAAGGAGTCACAAGGCACCACTAAGTAAACAGTTCCAGGGACAATAGTATTCTACAAAGGACTAACTTGTAAACCTTATGTGGCTCCAGCAAAATGAGAAAGGGAAGTAAGAGCCCATGAGAACTGGAGGGAGAATTTTGAAAGCAACATACTTAGAAGAAGAAAATGACCTAATTTATAAAGATCCACCTATCTTCCACTTGAAAAATGTAAAAAGAAGGTATACAAGAATCAGTGAAGTTCTAGAGATGTTGACTTCAGGGTTTAGGTAGATGATATAACAAAGGTTATGAGAAAAAAAAAAAAACAAAACAATGAACGAGACACCAGAAAAAGAAAATGAGTTGAGTTTGAGCTATACTGAGTATGATGTTTTCTATGCATAAAGTTGTATGAACTTCAAATAGAAGTTGAAAATATTGACTGCTAGCTTCCAAAAATAGAGACATTGGTGCTGAGAGGATACATTCATCCCAGATGGTTCAAGTTATGGGAATATTAATAGTAATGGAGAGAAGAAGCATTGAGTGTGATTTCATGTTTCCTTGTTAAATCTGTGCTATTTGTTAGTCTGAAGTAAATCACTAATAGAGGCCTGGGAGTGTGCATTTTTAAAACATCAAGCTATTTTTTATATATTTTAAAGATTAAATGCCTTCTATTTTATATATTAAAATAA